GGTGGAGTAAACGAGCTAATATGACATTTGAGGAGCTTAAGAAGAAAATGATGGAGGCCTTAGTAACGCGACTACCTAATTTTACTAAAGTGTTTGAAGTAGAATGTGATGCTTCGGGAGTCGGTATAGATGGAGTACTTAGTCAGGAACGTCACCCTGTAGCCTACTTTAGTGAGAAACTTAATGAGGCAAAACAAAAGTACTCAACTTATGATAAAGAGTTTTATGCGGTGGTTCAGGCCTTGCGTTATTGGCATCATTACTTGTTACCACAGGAGTTTGTTCTTTACTCCGACCATGAAGCCCTCCGCTATCTTAACTCCTAAAAAAAGCTTAATCATAGGAATGGTCATTGGGTTGAATATTTGCAAGCATACTCATTTATTTTGAAACATAAATCTGGAATAAAGAATAAAGCTGCAGATGCTTTGAGTCGTCGGGTAACGCTGTTATCTGTAATGAGTGTTGAAGTCACAGGATTTGAGAGACTTAAAGAGGAGTATGAATCTTGCTTAGAATTTGGAGAAATATACTTGACATTGAAGGATGAGAATCACCATGTTATAAATGGTTATCACCTCCAAGATGGATACTTATTTCGGGATAATAAGCTTTGTATCCCGAAAACATCCGTGCGTGATTTTTTGATATGGGAGATTCATGCTGGGGGTTTCTCAAGATATTTTGGAAGGAATAAAACCATCGAAGAAGTGGAACACCAGTTTTTTTGGTCTAGTTTGAAAAGAGATGTCGCTAAATTGGTAAGTCAATGTCGAACTTGCCAACTAGCTAAGCATAGAAAACAAAATACTGGTCTTTACACCCCACTGCCCGTTCCTACTTGCCCTTGGCAAGATGTGAACATGGATTTTGTGCTTGGGCTTCCACGTACTGCAAAGAAACATGATTATATTTTTGTGGTTGTCAACCGTTTCTCTAAGATGACCCATTTTATTCCTTGTACTAAGACCACAGATGCTTCCAAAGTTGCAAAACTCTATTTTGATGAGATTGTTAAATTGTATGGTCTTCCCCAAACCATAGTTTCGGATATGGATGTTAGATTCACAAGTTATTTCTGGAAAACCCTTTGGCGTATGGTGGGAACCAAATTGAAGTTTTTTACTGCTTACCACCCCCAAATTGATGGTCAAACTAAGGTGGTTAACAGGAGTTTGGGCAATCTTTTGAGGTGTCTAGTGAGTGATCATAATCGGAATTGGGATCTGATTCTTCCTACGGCCCAGTTTGCCTATAATAACTCTATCAATAGGTTAATAGACATGAGTCCCTTCAAAGTTGTACATGGTTATAAACCTAGGAAACCTTTAGACCTTCTTCCTATGTCCCTTCATGCTAGAGTGTCTGAGTCGGCCGAGTCTTTTGCACGTAGAATTCAGGATTTGCATATTGAGATCACTAAACAGATTCAAGCAAGTAATGTGCAATATAAACTTCAAGCTGATTTACATAGACAATATAATGAATTTAATGTGGGAGACTATGTTATAATACGGATTAGACCCGAGCGGTTTCCTTCGGGAGCTAATCGAAAATTACATGCACGTAGTGCCGGACCTTTTAAAGTGCTACAACGGGTTGGTCCAAATGCTTATGTTCTTGATTTACCACATGATTTGGGTATTAGCTCTACATTTAATATTGAGGACCTAGTTGTATACCACAAACCACTTTCTATTCCAGATGATCCATTTGAGATACCACTTAACTCTCCTTCTGATGATCCTATTGAAACCTCTATCCCTTTCACCTTGACATCAGCACAAAAGGATAATATTGATGTTATTCTGGATGAATAAGTTGTTTTTAACAGGAATGGTGAGGTTCAACGGTTTCTAGTTCGTTGGGTGGGTCGACCTGACTCAGATTGCACTTGGATTACTAGAGATACTTTGCAGCAGCTTGATCCAGATCTTTGGGAATACTATCAGAGTCGGCCAGTACTACACTCGACGGGGTCGAGTTTCTCTAACCCCGGGAGAGTTGGTGGGGATACCAGACCCACACCACAAACTATACGAGTATATGGACGGAGACGACGTAGGATGGCCCAACCTGTCACACTTTGGTTGGGAGACTAATCCCCTTTGGGCCCATTTCATTGTTATTTTATTTATTTAGTTCATTTGGGCCTGCTCATTGTTATTTTATTATTTATTTTAAACAGTTTGATTTGATGGGCCAAGCCCAATAGCAGGATGTTTTAGGATTTACTATTTATATGTTCTTTTGTCATTTTGAGAGACAATTTTGATGATTAATGAAAAATTATAGATTTTGCATATCTCTAATCCCCTTTCTTCTCCTTCTTTGCTTTCTCTTCTCAATTTCTTCTCTAAAAGCTTCTTTTTTTTTCTAGCTTTAATTCTTTTATTTGTTGTTCCACTTATATATTGATGAATATGAAAAATTAATCAGGGCAGTAATAATGTTTAAGAAGATTTATTATCCAATACATTTTTATGTTACCCGTGCGGCTTGTATTTTCTTGGAGGTCGTCGATCGGTATGAAAATCACACTAATAAATCAAGAATAAAAAATGTTAATTAGAAGGGATTTTCTTAGCAAAAGGATGGCTCCATATTAGTTACAAATCTTGAGATACTCTTAATCACCTTGCTGATATAGTTATTTTCATCTTAATTAATTGAATTTTACAGTATCCATAAATCTTTCATGGATTGCGAATTGTGTTTGTATTTTAAAACCAATTCAGGTTATTCGTATTCCATGTTCCAAACAATGAAATATATATATATATATATATTCATTTTCATGCCATCTAATACCAATTGAGAAGTCTTCGAAGCACACAATGTTCCAACCGAATCGATAGAAGTTTTTGTTTTGGGACTCATTGTGTAATACAAGATATATTAATTCAAAGTTCTCTAAAAAACATTACAAGTTGACTTGAGCACTTGAAGTTAGTTATGTTTTGTCTTGTCTCTCTTCGTCGTAGGTCTGGGACTACATTCCACCGCACCCAATAAACCTGTCTCATTTGTCTCTATACATGATTCTGTCTGGCCGTTAAAACCTTCGTTTAGAAATGAAGTTATATGCCACTTCATGGCGGCGGTGTATTCAACTGTAAATTTACCTGAATCTGAAACTGACATTCTCCCACTGTTCTTCTTACTTGTTTTCTTCTCTGTTCAGTTAAGGTTTATGTAACTATTTACTCCTGGATTGCTTATTCTGGGATTAAAAAGAAAAGAAAATGGAGAAACAGGCAGAGATAGAATTAACGAAGGCCTGGAAAGGTGATGTTCACGATGCTATTGTTGTGGGGTCTGGATAGTGTTCTGTTACTGCTTGTCGAATGTCAACTGTGGGAGTAAAGGTTCGTCTGCTAGAGAAAAGCCGGAGACGGAAAGCTTAGGATTTCCCAACTGACAGCTGGGAGATTATGCAAGCTGTGAGGTATGGGCATGGTTGTAAAAAATACATAAACTCGATCTTAAAATCATAAATAAATAATTTTCAATGCATTGTATACACAAACAATAAGCAATTTTATATGTACTTGCAATACCATTGCATGATAAATTATAGTGCATAGATATCTGGTGCATCAGACTTTAGAGTATGGTTTATTATTCTTATTTATAAAAATAACCTTATATAAGAAGAATTTTCAAAGTCTTGTTTTATAATATATATATTTTTTTATTTGTTATGCTTCATTCATTTTTGCACTGAGAAAAATAAAAAATAAAAATTTAGAATTATTTTAAAATTATAAAATCGATAGTTAAATAATGATTCCACTTGATTTTACTGAATTTACATGATTTTAGACCTATTTTATCTTTTTTTTTTAATTATTTTTAAATGATTTCGCACTCTAAGTATATTGCCATTCACTCCTGGACTGCTTATTCTGGGACAAAAATAAAAATGGGAGAAACAAGAAGAGATAGAACGAAGGCCAGCAGACAGAGGAGATGATTATGATGCTATTTGTTTTTTTTATGTTAGATTATTTATTATTGCTATATTTTTTTTGTATTATTTAAATTTATATAAAATAATTACAAGTTGTTGACTTGGTACCAAACGGTAGTTATGTTTGACTCTTCTCGGTGTAGATGCTGGCGCTAGCTACGGCTGCCAAACCCGCTTTGTTTAAATTACAAAATTGACACGCAAAGAAACTTCGAAGCGTCTATTGGCCCTTTATGGAAACAATGTTTAAATTTCTTAACTCGTGTTTTATCACTAAATAATTTTTTTTTAATAAGTTTGCCTTTCTAAAAGGTTAATAACTATTTAAATAGTTCAAATTCTATTTTTATAAAATAGGAGAATTAAAAACCTAAATAAAAAAAGAAAATACAACATAAATTCTGAAATTAAATTGAAAATAAAAAAAAAAATTAGGAAAAGCAGCAAAATTTGCTCAAACAATTATTGAAGACTAATTTTGAAGGTCATTCAAAACTCAGCTGTTTACAATCGATTGGCGCCGTACAAGATTGAGTCTCTGAAATTATCTAATAAAATCTAAGTTTGATGCTATAGTTTGGTAAAAAAATTATAATATCTTTATTAATTTGATATAAACAAATCTTTTTTTGACTTAACTCTATCTTGCTATTTTATATAATAAAAAAAGTCGGTCAAATTTTCTACATGATTAAATATTAAAATGATATTTAATATTGTGGCCCAGTTGTCTTTTTTTAAAATAGTTTTAAATGAATTTTTTTATATTTTATATCATTTTGATGTATTGAATTAAAAATAAGTTTTGAAAAATAAAAAACATATTATTTTAATACATTTCAAAATAAATAAATACTTTGAAAATATCAGGCTCTTCGATACGCTTACATCACTGCCTTGTTCGTCTATATCCATGCAGCTACGTGCTTTGAATATCCGAAGCAGCCTACTTTGAATGTCTTGAATGCTTTCTTCTTTGAATTTTCGGCTGCAATCTTGACATTAACTCTTTCACGCCAGCTCATGCATCAAGTTAAAACCTTCGTTTGAGAATAAAATTATGTATCACTTAACGGTGGTGGTATATATAAATTTACCTGAATCTAAAACTGAAATTCTCCCACTGTTCTTCGCGCTTGTTTTCTTCTCTGGTCAGTAAGATATATATTGCCATTTACTCCTTGATTGCTTGTTCTGGGATTAAAAAAAATGGAGAAACAAGCAGAGATAGAACTAAGGCCCGAAGACAGAGGAGATGATTATGATGCTATTGTTGTGGGGTCTGGATATGGTGGTTCTGTTGCTGCTTGTCGAATGTCAAGGGCGGGAATAAAGGTTTGTCTGCTAGAGAAAGGCCGGAGATGGAAAGCAGAGGATTTCCCAACTGACAGCTGGAAGATTATGTCAGCTGTGAGGTATCAGAACCAGAACTTAGGCATCAGATTTGGACCAGAGGATGCTTTATTTCAGGTCATTCTCTTGTCCTTCTCTCTTTCTGGGTCACCTGTACTGTTTTGTGTGCATTTTATATGTTTAAAACGAAAATAAAGTAACTAGATCTAGGTTTGGTCTCTTAGCATTTGAAGCCATACGATATATCAATAGTTACAAGAACCTGTAATAATGACCTAAAATATTATAAAAAAACATTTGACACATGTGCTAAGGACATGACACAACAATGTAAATTCGACATATTTTTCGTATGTCTGCACAAAAAAAACCTTCGAGCCATTAGGAAGTGAGAGTATTCTAAACACATGGAATCTAAAGCTCGATCAAAGCATTTTTTTTACCATCTCTCTTCGAGTTCAGTCAATCACTGACTTTACAATGTTCTAGTTATATGAACAGAATGATTCTTTAGCAGCAGTGGCTTGTGGACTTGGTGGAGGTTCCCTAGTCAATGCTGGAGTGATGCTGCCAACACCAATTCGTGCTAGAAGGAATCTAAAATGGCCAAAGGAATGGGAAAGAGATTGGGATATTTGTGAGTCTTCTGCTGCAGCAATGCTGAGAATTCAAAGCAGTTCAGTCAAATTTCCTATAGCCAAAGTCATGGGAGAAATAGCTGGAGCAGAGTTTGAAGCAAATATTGAGAGCTCCGTAAAGCTAAGTGTGAATTTTGATGTTGAAGAACCTCCTTCTAATCCACCAAGGCTTGAGCAGATTAATAGCTGCTTTGCCTGTGGAAATTGTCTTGCTGGGTGTCCTTACAATGCCAAAAATTCAACCGATAAAAACTATCTTATCTCAGCAATACAGGCGTGTTTTCCACTATTTCTAATGTTATTTAGACAGTAGGGTTTTTTTTTTTGTCTTGAATATTGCGCAGATGTGATTCAAAACTTGAGACCACCATAACATTTTCAAGGTTTGAGAACAATATGGTGTGTTAGGAAATCCTGTGGTTCATCAGAATTTATTTTTTGCAGGCAGGATGCACTATAAGGACAAAATGTCAAGTTCAGTATGTGATCAAGAATCCCCATGGAATTTGCCAACCAGGCGGAATTAGCAGAGAAAGAAGATGGCGTGTTTACATAAATGAGATTGACTACATAACATCCGATTGGGTAATTCTGTCAGGTAGGAAAAAGTCAGTAAGAGTTCTGGATTTAGTCAATAAATTTTAGTTGTTATATTTAAAAATTTCAAAACTTGTTTCCCCAGCTGGAGTTTTGGGCACAACTGAGATACTTTTCCGGTCACAGATGAGAGGATTGAGGCTTCCAGATACTCTCGGATCTGGATTCAGTTGTAATGGCAATAATCTCGCTTATGTTGCTGGCTGGAAGCCCTGCACCCCTGAATGGTTATGGATTGAACAGAAAGCAATTATCAGAGACACCTTTCCAAGATAGGCCAGGGCCATCTATCTCTTCATCTCACACTTCTTCATTGGGTTTTACAATCCAGGTTTAAAACCTTTCTTTATGCGCAAACACTGGAATTGGTTAAACTTTAAAGTGTCCATTAATGTTTTATGCTAGTCACAGGATGGTTAAAATCAACTTGAAATCAATGTTCTTTAAAACCAAACTGGAATTTAGGTTGATCACTGATGAGATGGTGTCTAACGTGCCCATTTTCCTTGATAATCACCTCAAGTGCTCCTTTTGATGACCTTGGATGCTGACGGGTCCATCCTAAGAAAAGGCAGTCTGTGTGAAAAAGGTGATTGGTATGGCTGAGATGGACTTAAATGACTGCCCTTATGTTTAAGCACACAGGCGTATAATCTTAAAATAACTGAATGAAAACAAAAATAAACATTTGAGTGGCTGATATTCTTCTGTACAAGTCTCCAGCACTTACTATTTTAATTTTCACTGCAGAGTGCTATACTTCCAAGAGCTTATCCGTATCTGTTGTTTGAAGGGATTACAACTTATACCTGGCCAACTGGTTACCAGTTCTTTCATGGGATTGTCGATAGGCTGAAACATTTTATAGGTCTTAACTTAAGCCAATCTATCATTCTCAATGCAATGGGTTATGATGAAAGTAATGGGAAAATCATGTTAGAAAAAGACACGGACAAAATCTGCTTTCATCCACCCCAGGATCCTTTACTTCCACGAAAAATCATGGCTTTTCAAAAGCTGACCAAAAAACTCGGGGGAATCCTTTTCATGTCTAGGTACAGAAGCACAGCAGTTCATCTTTTAGGTGGTTGCAATGTATCTTCAGATTCTTCAGGTGGGGTATGCAACCACAAAGGTCAGGTTTTTGACCCAAAAACTCCTGATACTGTGCATGCAGGCCTCTACGTTTGTGATGCTTCTCTAATCCCATGTTCCGTTGGTATAAACCCATCTCTTACTATTGCAACAGCCGCGGAACATGCAAGCGGGTTCCTCGTGCAGGACATTCTCGAGTACAAAAATAAAATTAGAAATAGTGTTGCAGCTGTTGATCAGAATCAATTCTCTGTCACGGGTAAAAATTTAAATAATGACAATGAATCAGCTGTTCTGATTAAAGAAACCATGAGAGGCTATGTGGGGGGCATGCCATGCACAGTTCATCTAAAAATGAAAATGCGGTCACAGAATCTTAAGAGCTTTGATAAAAGGAACTGGTTTATAGGAGAACCTCACCCTCTTCTGAGGGGAAAGGCTGGTGGGTATGTAGTGTTCAGTGCCATTGAAAAGGACAAATTACATGTCATAGATGGGGAAATGGATTTGTGTGTGGTCGATGGCAGAACTCCTTATACGCAGTATATGCACTATCGACTTCTCCTTGCAGCTGCTTCTGGTTCCAGGTGTGATGACGTTACAATTTCTTTACTCGTTCCCAAAAGAATGCCATTTTTTTTCCATTTTCCTTTTTTTTATTATATGAGTTTAATGCAGATACATACTTGAAGGAAAGAAGATAATGAATCCTTACCTCTTCGCATTGTACGGTTGGAGGGAGACAACAACACTGCATGTTACATTAAATAAAGTTGCTCAGAGTGGCTCAACAGGCACCATGCTGAATTTGAAAGGAGAGCTTAGAGTTTCCTTCATAGAGCTTCTGAAGTGTTTTATAAGCCTTAAAGGAAACGGGAGAGGAAGATTCATACATCTTCTTTTACAGACACTCATAAGGACTTACATCTTACAAATACCACGGGTGACTCGCAAGACTTTCATCGTAACAGACTCATGCGATGAGAGTTATCCAAGCAGCACTATCGATGATATAAGAACAGGTATTCAGAAATCACAAGTCTTAAAATTAAGAAAGCAAAATAGGTTCACGGGGGTGTCAATTAAGATTAAACTGTCAACACTTTGAACTATGTTGCTTTTTCATGATTTATTAACTCGTCATAAAAACAAATGAATGGGACATATCATTTTCTGAGCTTGAATTTCTCCATATATAATGATGCTGGCTTCAATATCATGCAGCGGATGGATATATCATTAGAAGCAGGCACTGGAAAAATGCTAGAAATCCCTTGTTGCTTAGCGGAGAAAAAGTACTAAATCCTATCCTCCTCCTCAATGGTTATACTATGGAGAGTTACTGGCTACCAACAGAACCACATGATTTAGTCAGAACTTTGTTGGAAGAAGGGCATGAGGTTTGGCTATTGCAGACTAGATTGCACCCTCTGAATCCTGCAAACAACGCTACTATTGAAGATATTGGAAAATATGACATCCCTGCTGGTATGGAAAATGCAAATGAACATTACTCGAATGTTGATTCTTACTTGTTCATTACGTTCAGCATTGAGCATTTTCTGACCTTTAAGTTTGCAGCATTTGGTAAGATCCTTGAAGTTCACGGGCCCAGCACAAAGATTCATGTAATGGGACACTGTGTTGGAGGCTTGGCCATTCATATAGCTCTCATGGGAGGGCATGTCTCTGCGACCCATATAGCTTCTCTGTCTTGTACCAATTCTTCAATGTTCTTCAAGCTTACGGCATTGGCCACAATCAAAATGTGGCTTCCCCTGGTCCCAGTAAGCTCTTCAACTCTGCTCGCTTATGATTATGGGATTTCTTTCATTTTAGCTGCAAGATGTTAATATGATTGTACATAGTATTGGTTGAAATTCACTATTCACAGTGTGAGTAAATGAATAACTAACATTAGAATATGCATTTGAACAAATTAAGATGCTTGATCTTTACTATGCTAGTCTAAGTTTATTGTGCAAAACCCAGGAAAACCAAAACAAAAACACTAATAAAAAAATATACGTATAGAAAATTTAACGTTGTTGGTAAATCCTGTTCCACAAAATTTTGCTATCAAATACAAGAAATTATAGCCATTACCCAATATCAGATTACATCTAAGAAATTACTCATAAGAAAATACCATATTAATTTAGCTAAAGATTTTGGCTACGGCAGTAATTCTTTTAGTTGTGACCACATATCATTAATATTGGAAGCAAACATAAATTAGCCACTACACATTCTATCTATAGTAGTAATAAAGTCCTTTTTTCATTAAAAAAAAAAAAACTTCAGGTCCAGCTCCAACAAGGAAAGTGTCTTTTCCTAAACACAATATGTCAAAAAATTATATTCTTGTATTTTGTAAATTTCTTCATGTAAAAATCATCTTTACCACGAACCATCAATGCTAATAACCACACCTTGAATTGACCCAATTGGGATTTAAACAATTTCTATAAGGTTCAGAAGAGTTCATGCTAGTCTTTTCTTCTTGATTTTCAGACTCTTTTATAACCGAACTCAATCTGCAGGTATCAATGGCTATACTAGGCAAGAATAAAATCCTACCTCTTCTCGAAAAATCAAAGGGAAGCTCTGGACACAGGCTTTTGAAATTCATAGCTCGGTGTTTACCACGATATGAGAGATGCACGTGCAAGGAGTGTGAGGTCCTCTCTGGAATATTTGGAAATGAATTCTGGCATGAAAATGTAAGCCCCGCCCTGCACCACTGGTTGACTACAGAAAGCGCAACAAAGCTTCCCATGTCAGCATTTCCTCACCTCAGAAGAATCTGCAACTCTGGATATATTGTAGACAGTAATGGTAACAACTCATTCTTGATCCATCCAGAGAGAATGGCAATCTCAACGCTGTATATTTCTGGAGGACGGAGCCTCCTTGTGACCCCAGAGACTTCTTATCTTGCTAACAAGTACATGAAGTTGCACCAACCTGGTTTTAGACATGAAAGGGCGGTGGTGGACGGTTTTGGGCATTCAGATTTATTGATTGGAGAGAAGTCTCATGAGAAAGTTTTTCCTCACATAATATCTCATATCAGATTAGCCGAACAAGAAGGAAATGATTTGACTCCAAGAAAAAAGTACAGCAAAGAGGCTTTGGACTGGGGTGATGATCCTTACAGAGAATATGGGGACTCCGGCTGCTGGTTTTTCGCGTTGGCTATTATGTTCTTCTTCTTGTTATTACATGTGTTGTTCTGGTGACTTTAACGTGATTTTGAAGTTGTAAAAGGAAAACAATGGAGTATTAGCTAATAACAATAACTATTTGGTGGTGAAATAAAATTCTTTTCTGTCAAATGTGATATATTACGAATTACAGAGTTTGCGCGCATTTACGTAGCAGCTTTACATGAAAGAAAGAAATCACCCTAAAAAACTTTCAGACCGCTGCACCATATAAGCATTCAATACACACAGACGCGCGCGCAACAGGCTTTTCCATGGAATCTATTTATCAGTGAGGGTGCAAAGGTCTTCTCTCTGTTGTTCTTTTAGAAAGGTAAAATACCTTCATTGCTTCCCCTCGGAATAAAAAACACCTAGGCTAGCTCTGGGGTTATTTTTGGATTTTTCATGTTGCTTTTTGCATTTTAAGCATATTAGTGGATGAGTAAATTAATATTTTATATTAATTAAGAATTATTAAAGTTTAAAACCTGTCGAGGGTGTGCTAGTGATGTGAAAGCATATCAAAAGGCTGGTTTAGCTTTTATTAAATAGTTATTATTTTTTTATTAAATTAGATGTGTTTAGTATTTTGGAAGATTAATACCATTCATTTGTAATTATTTTATGTTTCATATAAATTAAGTATTTTTTTATAATATTTTTAATATATATAGTCTTTTATAGTAATTTTTTTCTTTTTATTTTATTCAATAAATTTTATATACATGTAAAATCTTATTACAAATTAATTTTAATAAATAAATAAATTTTAAATGAGAAAATATTTTTTCGTAAAACATTGTAATCTTTTTCTTTATCATGGTAAATTTATGTGATCTTCTTATTCATGAAGCAAATCTAAGTTACTAAAATATATAAATTCTATGTATGCTATTATGTAATTCTTTTATATATTTTTATGTGCTAATTGATATGAGATTTTATAATTTTTTCACTATGAAAAATTAATTTTTGACAATAATAGTGTTTAAAATTATTTATCGAATATAGTTTTGTGTATAGAATCTTTCATAGATTAAGAATTGTATTTGAATTTCCAAACCAATTTAGGTTACTTGTATTCCATTTCCAGGTTCCAAAATAATGACAAATGGTTTTTCTTATTCACTTCTTCCCTGACCATTTTCACTCCATGCCATCCAATTCTAATTAAAAAACCTTTTAAAATAGTGGTGTTTAAAAAAATTAACTAATTTATAATATTTATTTTATCTGATTCAATTTAATTTGTTATAGTTGAATAATCTAAATATTATTTATAAATAAAAAAACTTAATAAATAAATACCAGGGTTTGGTGGCGAGTCGGGAGTTTTGAAATCTGATCAACTCGACCCAACTCGACCCCGCATACCCTATATTCTTTGTATTTCAATATTTAATAATTTAGAAATTGAATATTTATTTTTATTTTATTTAGAAATATTTTAGCTTTGAAGTTCTTATTAGTGGATCTCTTTATTGGAGGTGGGAGGTAATTATAATTTAATTGTGATGTAAAATATAACATTGTTAGAAAAGATGAGATAACTAGAATTTAATAGTAGCGTAAGGTATAAAAACTAGACCTAATAATAAGGGTGTCAAAGCACCTGCAATCCATGTTGTCGGTCCGTTTACAAATATAAATCTATAAAAATTAATAATATAAACTCAAACTTATAGATATATATATATATATATATATATATATATATATATTAATAATATAAACTCAAACTTATAGATAAACTCAAACTTATAGATATATATGATATCCATACAAAAAAATTAGCTCTATTCAACATGCCCAATCCATTCATGTTTTAAAAAATTGAATATATTATATTTATAATTTATAAAATATCGAAAGTTAAGTTTGATATAATTATGAGTTAAAATCTGACCAAACTATATTCTTTAACACGTCTACTTGGAAGCACTTCGGACCTAATTGATAAAAGTTTTTGTTTTGGGAGTTAATTTATGACTGGATAATGCACTATAGATTAATTTGAAGTTTTCTAAGAAATTTACAACTTCACTTGAGTCCTTAACGTTAGTTGTGTCTTGTCTCGTTTTGTTCTAGATGCTGGATTTCTTCTACTTGCTAGATTCCACCGCCACCAAACCCACTCAATTTCTCCCCGACGTTTGCAAGAAACAAATATAGAAAAAGGAAAAAGGGAGGACTATCAAATTGCCAAAATCCATCTTTGTAATGAGCTAGTCCAAGGATAACGCTACAATGGCTACCTTTTATCTTTGCTCCTATCATCACCGTTTTCTTCCTCCAAATCCTACTTCCTCAAAAACCTTATCTCTCTCACATGGAAATCCAAGACTCAGCTTCTTATCACCCAAACACGACAACTCTCCTTGTCGAATTCTCCGCTCTTCTCCTCCTGCTAACTCCTCCGATTCTCTTCCTTCCAATGATAACTATTCCAGGTTGATTTCATTTCTCTTTTTAGCATATTCTAAACGCCTGTTATTGGTTGTTTTTTCACAGTAATCTTTTGATTAAAAGAAAAGAATAAAAAACGAATTAAGGGTTTTTGCTAAATTGTTTGCTCATGTCAATTTCTTGTTTCTTGCAGCAATTTTTGCATTATAGAAGGACCAGAGACAGTTCAGGATTTTGTTCAAATGCAGATGCAAGAAATTCAGGACAACATAAGGAGCAGGCGTAATAAGATTTTTCTACTCATGGAAGAGGTTTTTCTTTTCTATGATTCTTCTTTTGTTATGAAGTTTTTCATTTTAAATTCTGATTTATTTTTTTATTTTGTTCTGAATTGAATTGCTATGTCATCTGGGTTTGGTTTATTTTTGTGTACTGTAGTTATTTTTGTGGTGTAAATCTGATTTTTTTTTTAGGTAAGGAGACTAAGGGTGCAGCAGCGAATAAAGAACCTGAAAGTGGTCGATGAGAGTGGCGAGGAAGATGCAGATGAGATGCCTGATATGCCGTCATCAATTCCTTTTCTTCCCCATGTGGTCAGTTTCAAACAAACCCTGTCCTTTAGCTTTGGACATGCACTTGATAAATGAAGCATATACTAATACTAGCAACCCCTATAGATGCACACACCGGAAAAGTATTGTATCTCGCAATAATTTCCTTGGAGAAGAGAAGAACACCTTGTTTGTATTTTAATTGATTCGCATCCTTACTAAAATGTTAAGTAAAGACTTGAATTTGTGATTTTGTCTTACCACGGGGATTTTTGTTTTGAAGTAGACACCGAAGACATTGAGGCAGCTTTACCTGACAAGCTTCTCTTTTATATCAGGAATTATTTTATTTGGTGGTCTTATTGCTCCAACTGTAAGTTCTTTCTCTTGAAAACACGAATAGTTGCTGTAAACAATTGCTTGATATTTATTGGTTCTGATAAAGTTTTGCACCGTGGATACCTTATACATGGAGCCTTTTTATTCCAATTTACACCTTTAAGATATATATTTTTTTTTTCATATGTATATGTGGCCCAGGAAAACATTGAAAAGCGACTTTCTTTTTCATGATGATCTATATCACTGCATAGTTAGAATAGCTCAAAGGTGGTTCTGGTGCATATGGATGTGAGTGCGAGATGGGAACAAGATCTGGTTGCAGCAAGTCATTCAAGTGTTTGATTAAGTCCTGATGTGAGCATCTATTAACTTTAGATAGTTGGTTTAAAGGCAAAAATAAAATCTAAGGAGCTGATGCACGATGCAGTCTTTTAGTATACTGAAGAACAACCTTAAAATTTCTGCAAGATGGCACTATGAGTATAGGCTTATGACAAATGTTTGATTAGCTAGGATAAAAATTAGAAGCTGATATTAACATATAGTTGTCTGGTTAGGGTGTTGTCCGCCCGATGTGCACGGTAAATAAGTAATACAAAGTTGAGGGTTACAAGAATTTGGAGAGAATGATAATAGGTGTATTTGACCAAAAAATAATGCTAATTGGCTAGAATGTGCATGGTTTTGGCTGGAAAATTATCTTCTCCTCCTTTATCCTTACCCACCTTAACTAATTAGCTGAATGAAGTCTATGGTCGTCTCATATGTGGATGGTCATTTACATCTACTTATTTTTCTCTAACATTGTGAGTTTCTATAGTGAATATTGAATTGCTTTGATGTCTTTCAAATTCTTCATAATGACTTGTTTGTGCTGAAATATGTTTCATGGCAGTTGGAACTAAAATTAGGTCTTGGGGGCACCTCATACGAGGATTTCATACGCAGCATGCATTTACCGTTGCAGTTGAGGTAGCATTTCCCCATTAGAAATTTAAAACTTGATGCAAACAAAACTTTAGCCAGTCAGCTACATGTTTGTTTTGATAAGAATCTTTGGATCACGCTCATAACTTCTTGATTTCTGAATTCAGTATGGTCGATCCCATTGTAGCATCATTTGTAGGTGGGGCAGTGGGTGTCATTTCATCCTTGATGTTAATTGAAGTTAACAATGTTGAGCAGCAAGAGAAGAAAAGGTGTAAATATTGCCATGGAACTGGTATGTATCGAGTTGTTGTGATGATATGATTTTGGTGTCAAATAGACTCTGGATTCCCTCTGCTGAATTAAGTAGTATATTATTTTTCCTGAGTGTTGTTAACACTTGAATGACGGGTAGATCAAAGAGATGAAAACTATGATAGTAATATAAACAGAACAAAATTGTATCCACTTGAGCGAGACCTGAATCTGTTGTGGTGAATAAATGATATATTTTTGGTTTGTTGAAGTGATTTCAATAACTTAATTGAATAGCCAATTATTCTGTTACTCGTAAATGTTGAAAATGTTCCCTGAAATAAGAAGGGGAAACAAGAAAAGGTATTTTCATTTCTTGCTTTTCTTTTTGAATTTTTTTTTCATCATTCTATGAACAGGATACTTGGCCTGTGCTCGGTGTTCTGCTAGTGGTGTTTGCTTGAGCATTGATCCCATTTCACTAACTAGTGCTTCTGATCGTCCATTACGAGTGCCCGCGACTCAAAGGTGTCCAAACTGCTCTGGTGCAGGAAAGGTAAAGAATTCTGTGGAAAGTAGGAGCTACTTCTAAATGAAGTATTCGTGGCATTTTCAATTTTAAGTACTGCACTTCATCAAACTATAAGTAGGAGCTACTTATAGTAGCGATTTGGTGACAGTACTTTTATGCTGTATTTTGCATGAGATCTTTAGCATTCACCTTGTGATTATGGCTAGCTCATAATAAGCTTGTGACTATGCAAATATTGCAAATTGAATTTCAATTTTGGGCACGGTTGCCTTTCTTTTTGTTGCCAATGTTAGCAGCTGGTACAACTGCAACAATTATATGTTGCTCACTGCTCGGTGCATGTACATGAGCACATAATGTGACGACTGCAAGTAGCTGTTAATTTTGATCTATTATGATTTTTATTTCTTTCTCGCTCACCGTTTCTCCCACCAAACCAAGTTTATAATGTAACATTTTCCAATGTAAATTTAGGTGATGTGCCCTACATGCCTGTGCACTGGGATGGTGATGGCAAGTGAACATGACCCGCGATTTGATCCATTTGATTAAGGGTGGTCAACAGCTTCATACTTGGAAATGTAATAATTAATTTTCTAGTTTGTTTATGACTAGATTTATCAGAAAATAAGAAATTGCTTGGTGAAACATTCTCTCTCGCAGACAAATGCACCATTGAGAAAGGTGCCAACAGAGCGTCCAAAAGCAAAAAAAGCCGTTATGTAAGAAGCTGGCAAGTTAGACTTGTAGAAACCTGTTTGTGCAATCATCTTTCATATAGTATCCTGTAAAATGCAGATTTGATGTTCGGTTTGTATCAATGGAATGGGGACACACCCTTGTGGAGGAAATGCAGCTGTTTTGGTGGCATAGTAGTTAACATATGATCTGACATAACAACGACTCGTTTCCTGATCATGGAACAAGATTATTATGGTCGAGTAGAGGGGGATACTTAGCCTTGTTAGCCACGGTCCCTCTCTTTTGAGGTGTGATACCAAGTAAAACTGGCTGCTTCTACACCATCCATGCTGCGGCGATGCTTTTTGAGGTATGTCGTGACCAGTTATTTCGTTCAGCAATAGACAAGTTGCACCAGAAGACAATCCTAATCCTAGGTGTAAGTATGTACATCCTGGAAGATAAACAACAATCAGCTGACACTCGAAAGATAAACAACAGAAAGAAAAGAAACCTCTACCTCCTGTGATTAATTACAAATGGAAACAGCAATACTTTCCCTCCCTCTCTCAAAACGATCTCTCTTAATCACTCATCTTCTACACGCCGTCGGTTTCCATTCCAGACCTTCGCCACCCTCTCAAATTTTCTTTATGATTTGTTATAGAAAAACACAATTAAAGGATAGATGATCAAATTGCAAGACGTGGCTAAATCACGCGGTCAATCTAAAATTTGCACCAAAAGTCCTTTTTAGTACTGTTTTTCCTTTTCTCCTATCACAATACATTTAGGTTTTGATAGTTTTGTTTTGCTCTAAAACTTTATTTTCCTCATTTATTTTAGTTTCTATTCTCATCTCATAAAGCAATAAAGAGAGTAGTAAAAAAAAAAAATCACCGGTTGACCACGTTCAGGTTACAAAAAAGATAATTTTTGTTGCCAATTTGTTTTATTTAATAAAAGAAGTTTCAATAGGAGTTTTTTGCCTTGCATGTTGTCAGAAAAGGTAAACCGAGATTGAGAAAGATTTTATTTTCAATTTGATTTTATATTTTTAAAATAATTTAGGTGTGTTTTGAGTTGATTTATTGATATATTTAAGTGAAAATAAATTGAAAAATAAAGTTTGTATTAAAAAAATATCACCTCGTTTTTCTAACCACTTTTTCAATGGTCAAAAATTGATAAACAGATGATACATTATTTATTTTTATTTAAAAATAAAATAAAATAAAAAAGGGCAAAAAACAGTTCAAGCTTGCACACATTGTTTTTTTTTTTTTATTGGTCATTGCTCATGTTAGAAATTAAATTTTTTAATTTACATTTTTTTTTAACTTTCTAGTTTAGCTCTTAATTAATATAAACATTTTTTTTACTTTTATTGGTATATATAATTATTAATTATTTAATTAAATATATCCATTAAATTTTTTATTTATAATTAATTTTTTATATTGAAAACATGTTAAAAACACTTATACGTTTGATTGTTTGTTTCGGGTCAAAATCGTATCTAGAGTTTATTCATTCACTCAGACTTTTGAATTACAACTTTTATTTTTTGTAATGCAATCATGAATGAATGCGCTCAGATTGCGTTATAGATATACTAATTGAGACTGGTATTAGCCCAATCAGTAAGAAAAAAACATAAAATATTATAAATTAAGCAAGATTAGATTTTTTCTAAGAATCAAAATCAGATTTTGACCGAATAAATGATGCACAAATAAAATCATAATTCAAATATTATTTCTAATTTGAAAGGAAAAGGGGACTAACAATCAACATTGACGGATAACTGATGGTGAAATTACCTGAAGAAAGACCCTAACATTGATGATAATCAACCTGCCATGGACAGGTATGGCATCCACCCTCTCATCATGCGCATGCTTCACCTGCACCGCACCCCTCAATTTCATTCCACCCCAACTCTGCCATCATTGTAGAATCTGTATCCCACTGTTACATGGATCCAGCTGATAAGGACAGCAATGATCGAAATGACCCAACCTTTTGTTTCCCGTTATATATTCCGGCCCTGAACGTCCCAGTCCTATCAAGAAGGCTTTAGCTCTGTGAATCAAGCCAGAATCTGCAGCACACCCATGCTATCCAATCACCTCTTTTCTACATGCTTTGTGTCGTGTCCTGAGGGTCGGCCGCCACGAGGCTCGTCCATACCCGTTTAAGGTCATGATCGTTATTGCTTGCAAGATTTACAGCACCACGTATCCGATCATCGCATAGTACTTGTATTTTACTTCATGTGATTGCTCATGGAGGGATTTCAAAGATTTGATCGTTGATTCAATTGTTGTTTTTTGAGAGATACCATGATTGATCACTTGAGAGAAGCTCAAGGCACTTGTAGCTTCTTTGACTTGGTCAATGATTTGGGATGGAGGTTTGATCGATCAAATGGTTTTTCCTTTAGATCAGCTAGAACTACCGGTGAGTGAACGAAGAATTTAGGAATGGAATAGTGATGCCGGAATCCGAGAGGCTCTTGAAACCCATTTTAGAGTTATCGAATTGATTGACGTCTTCCATTCGGTCATGAACAGAATCTGCAATTTCAGCTGCCATTTTCTTTGTTTTGAGAATGGAAGTGTGGATGTGTTAGTATAATGCTTCACGATCAGTAGTCGAAGGTGATATATAAAATCCAGAATACATAATTAATTTGATAGGTTAACGATGGAACAATGTTTATTAATATTTCTTTAGAAAAATACTTTATACTTTACCCGAGCCTGAAGCCCTGAATGCACTTTGAAAGCATTGGTTTGGATCCAAACTCTAGTAAAAAGTAGTTCATAATTATTATTTTTAATACACATATATTATTTTTTTACATAACATTTATTTCTCAAATTCATCAAAAAAAAAATATTTTTTTTAGGTATCACGAGTATCAACCAAGCCATCACCTTCCTTCACTAGGAGAAAGGAAAGTAATTCTAAGAACACTTAATTAATTCATATTTTTACCATTAAAAATCTTATTTATAAGTATTTTGTAATGTCATCTACTAATGCATGTAATGCATGTGAAGTAAATTCTTTTCTTTTTTAATTAATTATGGATATCTAAATTAGTTTATATATATATATCAATTAATTTCTTGAAATTTTAAAATTAATAGCTATATAAATTTTTAATAATTTTAAAATTTATGACACTTGAATTAGCTATTTCTGAAAAGTAAATTTAAAAGCTGACCAATCATGATGTATTCTTAAAGTTTGATAGTTTTTTTTTTTTTTTGAAACCCTTTATTTGAATTGATGAAGCATGGAGTTTAAATCTCCGTAATCCAGGAGAAGATAAATTAAAATAAAAGGAAACGAATTCTACAGCCACCACCAATAATTAATGTCACACCCATAGATGAAACCATAGTAAAAACCACGACGCAATAAAATTCCACATAACGAGGAGGGTGTAGTTGAGCACCTCACATCTTAGATCTTGATTAAGTACTTGAATTTTTTTTAATTTGACAATGAATATTGGGTTGTGGATTATGATGTTGCTACACTATCCCACTCATAGAGTATATTGAAGATTTATTTATTCCTCTTAAATTGTATGAGACAATTTCAAAAATATTCAAATAATAAAGATATAATGGTTAGTACTGTATCTTTATTATTTTGTATTTGTGCTTCACGTTGCTTTCTGTATCTCCACCAAATTGCGGTGGTGTTAATCTTCTTATGATAGAAGAGAAATCAAAATGGAAGAATTGAAATGACTTTATTCTTAGCTCGAGTTCATTTCCATAATTCTCATCATCCACTGATGTAGAAAAAAATATAAAAATAAATCCTCCCCGTTCAGCTCTTTACGGGGACATTCATCACAGGCACCTTCATGCTCCAAGCGTTGAGATTCTCTACAGTGACGGTCTCGCGTCCATTGTTGAACACAAACAAGTGAGCCTTGTCAAAGACTGCAATGATCGGATAAACCCTGGATGTGATGACGGTTCGTCCTCCAGCTCCAAAACTTTCAACAACAGAGTGATCAATCTGCAAAGAAAGAGTCATCATAGCCGAAAACATGTTAAGATAGCTATTCCTCTGATAGTTTTCAAGCAAGATAATGGAAGGGGCATACCAAACTCCTGAGCGTAAGTTTCTTGTCAGTTAAATCAACATCAACAAATCCAGCAAAAGGTGGTTTATATAGTCCTTCTCCCAAGGAAGAGCTGTTCAAAAGAAACCACGTATAAAGACCATGTTGCAGAGGTCGACAGCAGGAATAGGGAG